AAGAAGAGAGCTTAGCACTTGGAAAGAACTCGGGCTGCCGGGGCTGGGGATTGTTGACAAAGAGACTGGTCCTACGGACTGTTCAGAGAGCCGTATTTCACCAGGCACCAGATGAATCAAGCCTCCTTGGGCACTGCTGGTTCTCAATGCTCTTGCTCAGTGTGCCAGAGGCACAGGAGACAGTACACATCTGTGGAAAGTTTTCTCCAGCGCAGCCCAGCACAGCACTTTGAGACTTCTGCCAAAGCAAGTCATGTGAGAGTCACACAGTATTTTGTCTGAAAGGGCACAGACGCTCTTCACCCTGAGACATCGGCCTAATAGCCTCCTGATGCTGCAGCTGAGGAAAAGCAGCACATCAAACACTGTGGCATTCAGGGAGGAGGTGAAACCTCCCCCCGAACTGGACCGTTTGCAGTAAGAAACGAGAGCAGAAGACTTGCTTCACAAGCAAAACTGGGGGCTTCGGTTTCCACTCAACACAGTCTATGAACACAAACTCCTCCGACAAATGGGAGTCAGCAACAAACTCTTACCAGACACAGAAGCTAATGGTGCAGTCAGCTTGAGAACGACTCCCCTTCTATGTGGCCCTTTTCCTAGCAAAGGGAAAGGCGAAATGCTACGAAAGAGGACTAAGAAAAGGCCTATTTTGTCCTTCCCTACAACTGTTACAGCAAATGCTTACATAGGGCTGTTTGTGTCAGCTCCTGCCCTAAGAGCTTCACAGGTACCAACTCACCTAATCATTGGAGCATCTTTATGAGGGAGGTACTATCATTAGCTTCTTTGTACAGAGGAGGAATTAGGCACAGAGAGGTGAAGTAACCTGCCTAAAATCACACAGTTGAGGGTGCCTGGGTGACTCAGTCGGTTGGGCGTCCGACTGTGGCTCAGGTCATGGTCTCACAGCTCATGGGGTCACGCCTGTGTCGGGCTCTCTGCTGACAGCTCAGAGCCTGGAGTCTGCCTCAGATTCTGTCCCTTTCTCTCTCTGTTCCTTCCCCCGCCCCCGCCCTTTCTCTCTCTTAAATATAAACATTAAAAAAATAAAAAATAAAAAATAATAAAAAAAATAAAACCACACAGTCAATAGGACTATGGACCTATAAACCCAATGCTGCTATGCTGGGCTATGAACCCAAATGCTGCTGTTAACCTCCTTGCTAACATCCATCTCACTAAGCATTAAGAGTATAAGAAATACCATTGTGGATGGAACCATCTGGTCCCACAGTCCGGAAGCCTTCTGTCTGTCCATCCATTCATCCATCCATCCATCCATCCACCCACCCACTAGGTGCCAAGTATTGAGCTGAGCTCTGCAGATACCATGGTGAACAAACATGGATGCTGTCTCCAGCTTTCGTAGTATGTTCTGCAATTCAACAGCTTCAATGGCAGCCTCATGATCCCCAGTCATGCCCACTCTCCTGGCTGTAGCTGAGGTCCTGGTTCCCTGGGAGGGCCAGGTATGTGGTGATCTTCTGGGCTCATTTCTGGAGATACATACTAGCTCCCACTCCTCCCAGCTCTTCCAGAGATTTTATATGTACTTCATTTCTTGCATGAAATCACATTCCCTTAAAATGACGAGAGTGGTGTTCTCGGGGCTGTGGCTGACGCATCTTCCTAAAAGACTAAAGGATGAAGGTGAACTAAGAGGTGCCTCCAGTGCTAGCAAGGGTACCAGAGTAGCTCTGAGAGCCAGCTTGTGCCCTGGAGCAGGAGAGAGGGCTTCTGGGAGGGGGCCTGGGATCCAGGGAAGAGAGCCCAGATGTGCAGCACTGCTTAGAGCTAGAAAAGGAATCTGGAGGTAGACCAGGTCTAGTGTTTTCCTGGGTGTCCCAGGGAGCCCAAAGCATCTCAGCTAGACTCTGTATACAAACAGCGTGGAGCTAGATAGAAAGCACACTTTCTATCTAGGGCTGAGGACCAAGTTGGGAGAAGAGATGGATAGAAAGTTGCCTAGTCAAGGCCCATCTTCAAAACTAGACACAGCTGGACTCTGAGTCTAGTTTGGACATTTGTCTTTTTCTCATTATACATACCCTGTATGCCAACAAATCCTCTGCTATATGATAAAGATATAGGTATTGCATTCAAGATGCCCTCAACAAATATTTATTAAGCTTCCACTATAGCTAAGTGTCTTCTAGACACTGAGGATATGGCAGTGAACAAACCAGATCAAAATCCCTGTCCTTACTGGGCTTTCCTCTATGACTGAGAACTTTAAATTCAAAAAATATTAAAAAAAAAAAAAACCCAAACAAGTAAAACTGACCCATAATCCCATCAAAAACTCTTTCTCTATCCCCATAAATATAAAGCAAGAAGTCAAAGAGTTCTTCCTTATCCATCCAACCCTTCTCAACCCCTACAAGATAACCATCATAAATTTTTTCTTAGTTTTAAAAATTTATGAAATATACACACCCATATACTTTTTATTTTATTTTGTTTTGTTTTCAAACAAAGATAGAAAAAAGCTTCACAGAATGATCTACATTACATGTGATTTTCCCCCCATCTAATAGATCAGAAACCTCCGTTTTAGTTTGAGTTCTCCAAGAAGTAGAGCCTGAGACGAGGGTTTACTCACAGTCCCGCTAATAAGCACATTAGAGTTGCCCCATTCATTTCAACTGTTTCACAGTATTTCACAGCCTGTGTCTGTATCATTATTTACTAAATCCCCTGAAGATACACACACACTCCTCACCTTGCCCCCCACATCCCACTCACTGACATTTAGGATTTTCAGTGAATGGGTTGACGTTATTGACTCACCGTAAGGGAGTCTATACAACAAGGGGAAATTTCTTTTTGTGAAGGCCGTGGTTGCAGGACAGGGTTCTGAGGTCTGGAGAAATGACAGCAGCATTGGCAGCAGGGCCATAACGTCTAGAAAATTTGTCGTTGTCCTTATCATGCCCAAGATTTATAGCTAATACACATTTATGTGAATTTGGCTAAATTAGTCACAGTGCTGATCATAAAATTGAAAAGAACTTATTAATTTAGTGTTTTATTTGCACTTTGCCAAATGCAGCAGCAACTTGCTTCTTGGAATTCTTTGGTCTAAATCTCATCATGTATCACCAGTTCTGTGTCTTCTAGAACTAGTCCATATTGCTGTATTTAAGATTGATGATTTTTTAAAATGTTTTTTATTTATTTTTGAGAGAGAGAGACAATGAGCAGGTGAGGAGCAGAGAGAGAGGGAGACAGAATCCATGAAGCAGGTTCCAGGCTCTGAGCTGTCAGCACAAAGCCCAATGTGGGGCTCGAACCTGTGAACCGCAAGATCATGACCTGAGCCCAAGTCAGACACTTAACCGACTGAGCCACCCAGGCACCCCAAGATTGGTGATTTTTTTTTGTTAACAACCAAACTGTATACGATTAATTCTGTGAGTGATTTTATCTGTATTTCGTGGTAGTGGTTCTCAGTCATTGAACCAAAGATGGGAATTTATGTTACTAAGTTGAGTGCCAGTTTCTAAGGTCTTTCATATGTTGGTGGGTGATTTCAGATGCCTGTCAGCACCTTCAATCAGTATTTCCAGAGTCTCTGTGAGATCCACGGTATAGAAGGGAGGAGGTTTTGTGTTGGCAGCCAAAACTTGGCATCCGGCCCTGGTCACCTGTGTGCCTGTGGCAAGTCACATGGCCTTCCTAGATCTCAGGAGAATAACGCTTCCCTAGCTTAGTTGCTGCAAGGATCAAAGGACAAACCAAGGGGCGCCTGGGTGGCGCAGTCAGTTAAGCGTCCGACTTCAGCCCGGTCACGATCTCACGGTCCGTGAGTTCGAGCCCCGCGTCAGGCTCTGGGCTGATGGCTCAGAGCCTGGAGCCTGTTTCCGATTCTGTGTCTCCCTCTCTCTCCGTCCCTCCCCCGTTCATGCTCTGTCTCTCTCTGTCCCAAAAATAAATAAACGTTGAAAAAAAAAATTAAAAAAAAAAAAAAAAGGACAAACCAAATGTGAGAGCACTCTTCAAGTATCAGCTACTGTAAGGATACATGGCAGGAAGAGTCCGGATTTTGCTAGGCTATGGCAGATAACCTTAGCTCTTGTCTACATGCCCACCTTAAAGCATCAGCATCTGGATGCTGAACTTGACCCTCACTGACAGCACATTCAACTCCCCAAAGAGCCTTGGCAAATGGAGTGGCTTTTCCTGAGATTTCACAGGGATACGTAGGAGGAGATGCTTGCACACACCCCACGAATCATCTTTTCCGTCAGGAACATGTGTTCTTCCTGGAAGGCTCATCTTCGACCACGAGGAACCTTAGTTCTATCTCCATCCTTGTCCAACGGACACTACCCAGCCTCAACGACTCCAGCCTTTCTTCGCTCCTTAACCTTCCTGGCTCTTTCTGGGGCCCCTCCCTCACTGAGCTTTTAATCTTGGGTTCTGATAATACCTTCCTGGACACCAGTCAAAACATCCTTCTAGAGTTCCCCTACCGTCCTTAGGAAGTGGTGAGGGGATTTTAAATGACAAAGGTTTTGCGGTCACCAACTTCTTTTTTCCTTGCTATGATATTATTAGGTAATTTTATTATTCTAATTGTTCAGAATGTTTAGGGACTGCTTAGATCTAGAAGCTTGGGAATCATATAAGGCCAGCCCCTTACCTGCACCTATAGTAACTGGGGCCCAGTGAAGGGAAGGGACTTGCCAAAGGTTATAAAATAGGTATGTGACAGTTATAGAGCAGGGACTGACCCCCCAGTCCAGTGCTCGTCTCCCTGCATCAAGCCTGTGGTACAAACGAATCAAGAAGCGTTCAGATTCAGGGGAACCCAGAACTCTCAACTAGAAGGGGGCTTGGAGTTCATCTAGAACAAATCCCTCATTTTAGAGAGGCTAAATGGAAACTTTTTTTTTTTTTTTTTTTTTTTTTTTTTTTTTTTTTTTTTTTTGTGGTCTCTGAATCCTAAAAATACAACACAGATTAGACAGTTACTTTAAAACATATGTACTTGCCTGGTGGGTATGATTTCCAGGAACATACACAGACTTAAACTGTTTCATGAGATTCCGAGCTCCAGCAATATCCCGAAGCGAAGTAAAGAGCTTGTCCACGGCAATTTTGGATTTGTGAAAAGTCAGCTTAATTGAAGAGTCACAGCCTGAAACAATCGAGAGATATTTTCTTGGGTGAACAAATCTTTAAATTAAATTTTAATCATGACAGCTTGAGCTCGATGTAACACAGTTGGGTTTTTTTTTTTAACCCTATTTTTCCCTGGCTGTTCCCCAACTGGGCTGTTTCAATCATCCACGAGCAATGAAACATACTGAGTATAAATGCCTTTGATAGAAGTAGAACTCAGAATTGCCTGGGATGGCAGCCACTGGCTTCAGTCCCTCTCTGTATAAGTTTCACAGAAAGAGAGCTCCCTGGGGTCTACTATCCTCAGAACATAGCTTTGGGAAAAAGTGGGGAGACATAAAGAAAAGTACCAGAGAGGGCTATGATGAACCTCTCTTGCTTGAATCCCACCAACAGTTTCCGTAAAATAGAATAGCAAGAATGAGAGATTACAGAGCTGCTCCAGTAACAGAACTTGCTGGGCTGGGCATCTGCCTAATGTGCTAACAAAGCATATGGTGTATTTCAAAAGGCAGCCATTCAAAGCTGATAACACACAAAGACAGCCTAATAAGAAGACTATTCTCGGCAAGGCTTCTATTTTTCTTTGACACTTATAATAGCTGGATTTATTCTCTATCTTGTTAGAAGCCAATTCAGAAGTGAAATGATCACAGATAAGTCAGAAGTTTAAAAAAGAAAGGTTCAAGATGAGTATCTCTGGCTGTCTCCAATACTCAGATACATGAATTCATTGATCCTTGCAGTACTCTTATGAGATTGGAGCTATTTTTTTCCCATCTTAAGGATGAAGGAACCAAGGTACAGAGAGGTTAAGTAATACCCCCGTGAACAGACCTTGCCAACGCCCTGTCCATACCCACTCAGTCACCCTGGATGTCACCTGTCGGTCTGCGGAACAAACTCTGACTGCTTCCTACCTCAAGTACCTGCATGGCTCTCGGTCTCTGTCTCTTTGTTTCTCTCTGTCTGTCTCTCTTCCTGTCTGAGGGCTTTCTCTGGTTATAGAAGCATGCTTGGCCTTTGTGTGCTAGGAAGTTAGCACTTGTGGGCACAGCCCCGCTTCCTCAACCCATGGTGGGGGACAATTCCGAAGTGTGGTCTCCAAAGCCTTTGCTCAGTCCCGGGAGGATGGAGCTCCAGCTGCCCACAAGAATAACTCACTCATTAATGCCCCTTCACTGGCTTTCCTTCCTTCCCTGGCTCACTTCCCTACTTCCTGACTATGCTTCCTGAAACATCTTTCCGAATATAGTACCTGCACCCAAATCCTTGTCTCAGGACACCAGAACTTCCACGGGGGTTAAACACAGACAGCCTGGATCCAGAGCCTGTATTCTGTTTTGGGAGCAGCTTTATTGAGGTATAATTCATATACCAGACACTGAACCCATTTAAAGCATACAATCCAATAGCTGTTAGTATATTCACATCGTTGTACAACCATCATCACCATGATCCATTTTAGAATATTCCTGTCACCTCAGTAAGAAACCCCATACTTGTTGACTTTCTCACTCTACCCCAAGTCCCTGGCACCATTAATCTGCTTTCTTTCTGTCTTTATGGATTTGCCATTTCTGGACATTTCATGTAAATGGACCCAGAGAATATATGATCTTTTGTGTCATGCTTCTTTCACTTAGCATAGGGTTTCCAAGGTTCATCCGAGTTGTAGTATATATGCATCAGTGCTTCCTTTCTTTTTATTGCTGACTAATATTCACTGTATGGATATACCACATTTCACATATGCATTCACCAATTGATGGGCATTTAGGTTATTTTCACATTTTGGCTATTATGAATAATGCTGCTAGTTTTACATATACAAATTTTTGTGGAGATACACATTTTCGTTTCTCTTGGGTATATACCTAGGAATGAAACTGTAGAATTGGAAGCTCTATGTTTACCCTACTGAGGAACTGCCAGGCTGTTGTCCAAAGTGGCCGCACCATTTGACATTCCTACCAGCAGTGTGAGAGGATTGCGATTTTTCCACATCCTCAACGCTGCTTGTGGTTATCATCTGGATCAGTCCTAGTGGGTGTGAAATGAGGAGATGCCTTGCCTTTGTCTTTCTGGCAACCAGCCCTCCATCCTGCAGCTGAGGGGGGGGGGGCTTACCACCAGTCATCCCCCTAGCATACTAGACACTCTTATCACTCTGGAGATTCCAAGGGTTCTAATAGCTGTGTGCCAGGAACTGGGGACAAAGGCCAATATGTATATTTCTTATTGTATCATAAAAATTCTCTGACTAGTTTTAAACTCCTTGTTTCCAGAAATGTCCAATTCATGCCATTAAAAAAAAATCAGCATGGTCAAGAGCAGTGAGAGGAAGCCTCCCCATGTTCCGTGAACTGTGGTGATAGTGGAGTGGATGGAGGGAAGTCAGGAGCTCATGTGAATTCCCCAGAATTCTATGCCAACCTTTGTGGAAAGGACAGAATGTGTTGTTTTCTGAGGAGCATGTTCATAACTTCCTCCTGATTCTTACAGGGACTCATAACCAAAAAGAGTTGAGATCCACAGGTATAGGGATTGATATCACACTATGCTTACCCTTGGCATTGCAACCCTACCTGAGCTATGCCAGCTTGTGCTTTAGTCAATTACCAACCAGAAGAAGCCCTGGTAGGTTATGGCTTTTCACCCAATCATGTAACTTCTTTCCTTAAACTCTCACTCTAAGCCATTTAAAATATGGGAAATTATATCAATTATATCTGAGTGTTGAATATTCCCTACTAGTCTTTCAAACAAAAAAAGGCATGAAAATAAGAAGACACAAGGTGCACAATTCAGCTAACAGGATAAATTTTTTTTTAATGTTTACTTATTTTTGACAGAGAGAGAGACAGAGCATGAGCGGGAGAGTGGCAGAGAGAGAGAGGGAGACACAGAATGGAAGCAGGCTCCAGGCTCTGAGCTGTCAGCACAGAGCCCAATGTGGGACTTGAACTCACAGACTACGAGATCATGACCTGAGCTGAAGTCAACCGCTTAACCGACTGAGCCACCCAGGCACCCCAAACAGGCTAAATTTTTCATTTAAATTAATTCATTTTCTGTCAAACAGAAAGATTCATCCAATTTTTCATATGGTTTATTTCAATTTTTTTTTTTGGAAAGTGAGTAATATGATGTTCATCCACTAGACTGAATGAAAGAGAATCATCTACTGGACTATAGATTCCTGAAACTTATAGATTATTCATGGCAATTGTACATTATGCTTTGGAGATAATGAAGCAAAGGCTGTATAATTGCAAAGAGGTCAACTGTAGAGCAGGTTGTTTGACAGAAGTGTTTACAGATTACTGGTAAATTAAACTCAAATGAACACAACAGGAAAATAAGGCTATCAAATGCTGGGTGGAAAATAAAAAGTCCTAAATTCACAAATAAAGTAAAACTTTCCTCAAAAAGAGTCCATTGTTTCCATTGTGCACATTGTGCCCAAAGAACTGCACAAGAGCCACCTCCATCCAAATCATCAACTCTTTCCAACATATCTGTCAACCCTCAAAGCAAGTATTCTACAATGTGCATGTTTCTGGGAGAGCACGCCAGTCTCTGAGCATTATTCATAATTACATCAGCATTCACCCAAAGCAGGAGTTACATTCATTTACCCAAAGTCTGCAGTGAAAGTTATATACACACACACACACACACACACACACACACACTTTAGAAATGTGGATCAGAGAAGATAAATGACTTGTGTAAGGTCACATTGCCATCCCTGGCAAAGTCAGGGTTCAAAACGTCCTGCTGATCACAGACCTGAGCTCCTCCACACCCAATGCCTCCCATCCAGAATCTCCTCCATGAACGTGGCTCCTTCCAAATTCACGCTGCAATTAACAGCGGAAGGAGATGTGGGCACAAGAGCTATGAAATGCGATGAAGTTTTTTCTGTGACAAGAGTAACGGTTACAATCACTGAACGGTCACTTAGATCATCACTTATTCCAGGCGCTATGCTAAGAAGTGTATACATATCAGCTTGTTGCATCTCCGCAGAAACCCACTTTGCAGCCGGGGAAACTGAGCCAGAGAAAAGTTAAGGAACACAGCGTCACTCAGCTAGTAAGTGGCAAAGCTGAGGCTCAAAGTCTTGCAGTCTAACTCCAAAGATGATCCTGTTAGCCACTCCATTCTGCTATCTTTCATAGGTGCTGAGGCCACACATATAAAAGGTCAATGAAAGACTTAATTCAGCCATAACGTGGAGGAAATGCTTTTAATTTTTTTTTTTTTTTTTTTTTTTTTTTGAGAGAGACAGAGTACAAGGCAGGGAGGGGAAGAAAGAGAGGGGGAGACACAGAATCGGAAGCAGGCTCTAGGCTCTGAGCTGGCAGCACAGAGCCCAACATGGGGCTCAAACCCATGAACTGCAAGATCATGACCTGAGCTGAAGTCAGATGCTTAACCACCGGAGCCACCCAGGCACCCCTGGAAGAAATGCTTTTAAACCGAGTGAGGTGAGTGGCAAATGCCTTTCTTCTTGGGAAGACCTGGGCCTGTCCCCCGGGGTGGATGCTAAACAGTGTGGTTTGCAGTCACACCTCAGGCCTGTCTTTTGTAGCCACACAAGGTGTGAGGTCTCCCAGCCTTCTGTATACTCTCCTTTGGATTGTTGCTCTGTGAGGCGCTGTATTCAGTTACTTCTAATAAGCTCCTGACAGCCTGTTCCATTAAGCCAGCTTATGAGATAACGGTGTTTTGTAAGGGAACTCGAAGTGTACAATTCCAGTCAATTCTCATTTAATCCACTTAGTTAAATAGATAATAAGCCAGAAGCTGATCCCAGCCTTTAACCAAGCACGATCTGTGTACTCCAGTTGCCCAGTCTTGATAAGGGAGGCCCCCCACCCCCCCAGGGTTGGAACCCCTGTGTTCTTCTAAAATGGGGGATGACTCATGCCCCTGCAATTTCTTTCTCTGGAGGGCTTGGGGATCTCTTGGGCAGGGGTCCAGTTACTCCTTGGAGCAACAAAATAG